CGCCGCGGCGTCGATTTTATTTTTGACCTTTCTCCCTCATCCGGACTCCAAATCAAGTGAATTTTTTTTAAAAAATTGATTAATTTTTCATTGTCTATCCAATGGTGTACTCGGTTGCACCCAGATATTTCTAGATAATTACCATTTTACACTTTTAACTTTATTACTCGTTTTTCTTTGTTTTGTCGTTTATCCTTCGTCCAGAATTCGAATAATGAAATTCTTGAGTCCATCATGATTAGTTTTTCATTGTCTTCCCAGTGGTGTGCTCGATCGCACTTGAATCCATTTTTTTTTGGTAAAATGACCATTTTGCCCCTAGGTTCCTTTTTGTCTGTTTTTGAAACGACACATCCGCATTTGTTTTCCTTTGGGTTCCATGACCTCATTGAGGGTCACATTGGTGTCTTAGAGACGCATTCTATCTCTAGAGATCATTGTTTCACCTTTCGCTTCCGCATTTCGGATCCGTTATCGGGTCATCTTTTGGTCATCACTAACGCACTGGGTTTACAAAACTTGGGCCGTCACAGAAATTCTGGGTTGATTCGCGTAACAGTGTTCGGATCGCTATGACATTGCTCGAGCCTTGAGGGAAAAGCTAAAGCCTTGTAAGGAAAAGCTCGAGCAATTGGTTGTAAAGCTCGATCAATTTGATGTAAAACTCGAGCAACTGGGATAAAAAGCTCGAGCCTGAAGTAGGGTGCTCGAGCCTTGGAAAGGGTGCTCAAGTATTTAGGACAAAAGCTCGAGCATTACTTGGAGAAGTTTCGCAAATAGCATAGTGTGACTTTTATTTGGAATTGAAGATACCTGAACATCGAATAGGGACATAGGTTTGGGTTTAAATAAATTTAAATAGACTCGATCATAATGATGTTTGCTATTTGAATGTTTTAAACAAACGAATGGATTTAATCTTTTAATTTGTTCTAACAATTAAGATTAAATGTATAACATGAATGGTATATGGAGAATGCTTAAGTGATTGTATAGTAAAGTATTAATTTATTTAAGATTTAGTATGTGTAGGATATGTGATGTAGGAAGCTTAAATAAATTATAAATTGTTCCTATTTTGTGATAGCATGATATAATATTATTATGTTTAACTCTGGATTATTTGATGTACTTCTGAAATTGTTACATCAACTGTTGGATTATGTAGATTTAGTGCACCAGTATGGGATGGTGGCACTCTAGGGATGGATTAACTTATTAGTTAAGTCCTACCTATTTTATAAGGGAATGGATTAACTAAAATGTTAAGTCTTACTTATATTTGTGTCAGGTCAACTGAACCAGTTGGATGATACATAGTGGATTAATTTAGATTAGATATATATATATATAGACATATGCCATGATATGAGATTGAGTCTTAGGATCATGGTTAAGGTGCGTATATTTCTAGGGATATGTAGTTAGATATAATGTAGTTGTTTCCCTGGTAGGTCTAGGTACTCATACCCACTATATGTGCGTTTTGCATATTGCCTACTATTCAGGTCGAGACAACCTTATAATCTAGTGAGGTTCCTTTAGTGTGTGTATATATATATATATATATATATATATATATATATATATATATATATATACGGATTACTTAGCTATTGCATGGGTTAGCTATAGTTATATAGTTTATTCGGTCTCTGTTTGTGTTGTCGTAGAAAGAACTTGTTCGTAGGCCTGACCCACTATTATTATTTTTCAGGTGCTCATTAGTTTCAGACATAAAATTTATTCATGCTGAGCAGAGATAGTCCACATCATTCTTCCGGTTCTACGTAGGACTCTCATTATGTTTTAGTTTCAGATTATAGTTATTTTCAGTTGATTCAGTTGGAATATCATTAGGGGTCCACTAAATGTATTCCTAAGTTGTATGATAATTAAAGGTTTTGGAAAATTCATTTGGAGGATTAATTATTAAGTTTGAGGATTTAATATTTAGTTTCTTTTTAGCGGTATTATTTATTTCTTATTATTTCTTTTATATAGTGTGTTCATTTACATACTTAATTGTTTGGTATCCCTCGGATCTGTGCTCGGACTCGATCACCCGTGGCTCTAGAATTGAGGGGTATCACAGTTGGTATCAGAGCACTCCAGGTTCAAGTGTCTCTAGGGATCTATCATTTTAAGACTTCCGCGTAACGTATTCTCTTGTGTAGAGCTTAAGTTTAGGATTCGTTGTATTCCTTTATGATTCGATTTGAACGTACTGATGTCAAGATTATTCTGTAATTTCAGAATGTTTGGCACTCGGAAAAGATTGTGGTCCACGATGAAAGTAAAGAAGGACCCAAAGAAGAAAAAGATTACTCTGACGATTCCCCTATGAAGGCAGAATTGGAAACCAAGGAATTGTATCCAATTGGTGTTGCTTCGGAGTATAAGCCAAAGAAGATTTCTAGTATGTGAGATTGGCCACCATATTGTGGACCTAACACAACTTCGGTACTGCTTAAAGTTGAGCCAAGTGGAGAGGAGGACCCCGAAGAAGATCATGATGGATGAGATATTGGAACATCCAAAATAGATGGTATCAAAGTTCAAGGATGAATGCTCTTTTAAGAGTAATTTTTTTAAAAAAATTACTAGTAGTAGTGGAGGTGTTAGTAAAAGTGTAGTATGGATTTAATCACGTACACTTGTAGTATTATAAGGAATAAATGACTATTATTCTTTTGGAGGTTTACGATTTAATGAAGTTCTTAATGAAGTGAACCAGTGGTTTTGGCTATCTCTATTGTGTTTTATGATAGCATTTTTGTGATTTATACATAAATAGTTTTATTAAACTATATTGGAATGTGTATGTTGCGTTAATGAAGGAAAATCACAGTGGAGTGATTTGTATTTGGACAAGCAAACAAATTTTGCTTAAAGGTATGTTGTGTGGGACGGGACGATTGCCAATGAGTTTATAGAAGAAACTTGTGGGAATCAATTATATATGTTGGATTGTAGAGGAAACAATTTAGCACCTTTAAGGGTAATTGCTACACTTGTGGAGAGTTTGTCATACTTCCAGATAGTTTCCTAAAGCAGGACAGAGATAGGGACAACATGTACAGCAGGGATAGAGGGCACTATTACCTTTATCCGCTCCACAGATTCTACGAATTCAGGGACAGACGTATCTGGCTTTACTAGCACCACCATAGCCTTAGGGACAGGCACTGCAGTAGTTACATTATGGCAGGGTATATAACCCTATGCCACAGGATGTTCAGGTGCCTCAGGCTGCTGAGGGTATGTTTCCTATTCATGGTAGATCTGGTCATATTTTATTTGACACGGGTGCTACGCATTCATTTGTGTCTAGTACTTTTGTTGCATTATCTGGAATGACGACGCAAGTGTGCGATAGACCTCATGGTATTTCTACACCTATGGGCGATATAGCTATTTTACATTAGAGTGATGGGCCTATGACACTAGATATTGGTAGACTTCGATTTCTAACCAATCTATTGGTCCTGGACATGCAAACTTATAATGTGATACTTGGGATGGATTGGTTATCTCATTACTATACCTAAGTTAATTGTTATGATAAGTCTATTATTTTCACTATACTTGGTCAGGATATGTATGTCGTTGTTATGCCACGTTCTAACGGGGTTTCTAGCAGTTATTTGTTTTATATGGAGGAGGAGACCGAAAAGGAGATTACTATGTCACTGGATAGCATACCAGTTGTACAGGAATTTTTAGATATTTTTCAAGAGATTCTAGGGTTGCCACCTAATCGAGAGATAGACTTTATTATTGATTTAGCTTCAGGCACTACACCTATTACTAGGGCACCATATTGGATGGCACCAGTGGAGATGCGTGAATTGAGAAATCAGATTCAGCAATTGCTCAGTCAGGGTTTTATTCGTAAGAGTACTTCACCTTAGGGAGTGCCAGTTTTGTTTATAAAGAAGAAGGATGGTTCACTTTGCATGTGTATAGATTACAAGGAGTTGAACAAGGTTACTATTCGTAACAAGTATCATTTGCCCAGGATCGATGATCTTTTCGATCAATTGAAGGAAGCTACATACTTCTCTAAAATTGATCTGTGTTCTGAATATCATCAACTTCGGGTTTGGTAGCAAGATGTTCCTAAGACAGCGTTTTTCACTAGATATGGTTCTTATGAGTTTCGTGTCATGCCTTTCGAATTGACTAATGCACCAGTAGTCTTCATAGATCTAATGAATAGAGTCTTTAGGGCTTACTTAGATCAGTTTATCATCATGTTCATTGATGATATTTTGGTCTATTTTAAGACAGAGGACGATCATGCTAGACATCTTCATACAGTGTTGCAGATGCTTCGTGAATACTAATTATATGCCAAATTCGAGAAGTGTGAATTTTGGTAGCGGTAAGTGAAGTTTCTGGGTCATGTAGTGTCAAATAAGGAGATAGCGATGGATCCGGCCAAGGTTTCAATAGTGGTGGAGTGGAGACAACCTACCTCACCTACAAAGATTCAGAGTTTTCTGGGATTGGAAGGATGTTATCGTCGATTTATTCAGGGGTTCTCGAAGATAGCGGGACCACTCACTCATTTTACTAAGAAGGGCGTACAGTTTATATGAAATGAACATTGTAAGAAAGCTTTTGATGAGCTAAAGAATAAGTTGACTTATGCACCAGTTCTATCTACTCCACAGAGCGGGATAGAGTATCTTGTCTACATAGATGTTTCTTTACAAGGTCTCGGGTGTGTTTTGATGGAGGAGGAGCGACCAATTTCATATAGATCTCGTAAGCTTAAGCCCTATGAGCTTAATTATCCAACACATGATTTGGAGTTGGCAGCTGTGGTCTTTGCTTATGGATTTGGAGGCATTATTTGTTGGGAAAATCTTTCAGATTATTTATTGATCACAAGAGTTTGTAATATTTGTTCACTCAGCGGAAGCTGAATATGAGATAACGCAGATGGTTAGAGTTTGTGAAAGACTATCATTTCTCTATACAGTACCATCCAGGGAAAGCGAATGTAGTGGCAGATACACTTAGTCGCCGACCTTCTGGGAGTCTTTGTGCAGTGTTCGCTACTAAAAGAAATGCTTTGAAGACCATTGATGAGTTGTTTGATGCTTTTATGGCATGCATGGTAGTTACACCTTCGATCATTCATAAGGTATTGAAGGCATAACTCACAGCTCTGCAGTGCATTGACAAAGTTGCAGAGATAGCTTCTAGGGAGGTTCTATTTTATTATATTAGGACTAATAGAGACTTGAGGTACAAGGGGCGTTTAGTAGTACCTTCTGCTAACGATTTAAGGAAGGATGTGATGACTAAGACTCATCACTTTGAGTTTTCTGTTCATCCAGGAGGAGATAAAATATATCAGGATATGAAGCGACAGTTTTGGTAGGTAGGTATGAAGAAGGACATTGCTATTTTTGTTTCTCAATGTAGTACTTGTCAGATGGTCAAAATTGATCATTAGCGGCTGGCAGGTTCTCTACAGCCACTACTTATACCAAAGTGGAAATGGGAGAGCATTTCTATTGATTTTGTAGAGGGATTGCCTAATTCATTTAAGGATCACAATTCCATTTGGGTCATTATTGATAGGTTAAATAAATCATCTCATTCTTGCCTATTCACACTGATTTCACTTCGAAACAATTGGGGCGACTTTACATTACAGAGATTGTAAAGTTATATGGCATTCTGTTAGCTATTATATCGGACAAAGATTCGAGCTTTGTGTCAGGATTTTGGAAGAGGTTTCAGCAGGCTTTGGGTATAGAGTTGCATCTTAGCACTGCTTACCATCCTCAGATTGATGGATAGACCAAGAGGGTTAATCAGATAATGGAGGATATGCTTTGTTCTTGTGTCATTGACTTTAAGGGTCATTGGGAGGACTATTTGCCACTTGTGGAGTTTGCATATAACAATAGCTTTCAGAAGACTATTGGTATGGCACCGTTTGAGGCTTTATATGGCCAACCTTGTCTCCTGTTTATTGGATGGAGGTAGGTAAGAGCAGATTTTTAGGTCCTGAGTTCATTAAGGATACCTCTGAAAAGATTGCTCTTATTAAGGATCGAATGCGCACTGCCTAGAGTAGGTAGAAGAGTTATGTAGACTGTCGTACTTGTCCTTTGGAATTTCAGGTGGGCGATCAGGTTTTACTCAAGGTGTCTCCTATAAAAGGAGTAACGTGCTTTGGAAACAAAGGGAAGTTGTCACCACGTTTTATCGGTCCTTTTATGATTGCGGATCGAATTGGAGCGGTGGCTTATCACTTAACACTTCCAGACCATTTAGATCATGTCCATAATGTGTTCCATGTTTCTATATTGCAGAAATTTTTTCGTGATGAAGATCGTTATCAGCATATTGATGTTGGTGAGATTAAGTTACAACTGGATGCAACTTATGTGTAACCACCCTATCGTATTGTCGACCATAGGGATCAGATTCTTTGTAATAAGGTCATTCCTTTGGTACGTGTCCGGTAGAGTGATCACAATGAGGCTGAATCTACTTGGGAACGGGAGGACGTCATTCGCTCAACCTTTCTAGACATAATGGATGAAGGTAAGGGTGAATTCTAAGGACGAAATTCCTTTTCTTAGGGGAGAAGAATGTAATACCCCTAATTTTAAAAAGAATAGTCTCGGTATTTTATTAATTGTTTTCATTGTGTTTTTGATTCTTTAATTGATTTCTTGGCTATTTGTTAATTGTTTATATTAATTAATTGATTATTTATTTATATGAAATACCTGTTTAATGATGTGTATTTGTTTACTGAAATGTTAAGTTTTGATGTGTAATTGTTTATTTAAATGTTAGGTATTTTTTTATAAAAATAATGTTAGGAATTAAATGTTTTAAATGGTTGTTTTATTTTATTTTATTTCATTTTATTTTAATGGTCATGGATAGTAGGCATGGGCCAACCAATTGGGTTCCATGAACTACTTGGATAAGGGGTTTAATGGGTACGGATAATTACCCATGGATAGTGTATATGTATATATATATATAATTAAATAATATATATATATATATATATATGTATGTATATTTAAGGAAAGTCCTTTGGAGATAATTTAGTGTATTTATTTTATTTAGATAAAAATAATATACATAGATTATACGTAACTTATATTCTTAGTTACCTTTTTAGTGTTTTAAAATTTATTATTATTTTCTTTATGAATTCGATGTGGATTGGGAAAAGGAATAAGGTGAATATGTACCCTATAAATATACAACTATAGGGTTAGAAAAAGGGGTTAGAATTATATCACGTATATTTTAGAGAGAGAGAAATAAAGAAGGAGGAAGAGGAAGAAGAAGAAGAAGGAGGCTAGGGTTTTAGCAAATCCTAAAGGCAAGTTCTTTGTTCTACACTTCTCTCTTAGATATGTGATCTATATATCTCTAGTATAACTTTAGGGATGTTTAAAGGATAATTAAAATTGGAATCCATGTTTCAAATAATCTAGAACTAGGTTTTTTAATTATTTTGTTTATGTTTGTTCTTGGGTATAAATTGATAAATTTAAGATTTGATTGGATTACTTTATGTTTTGTTTCATGTTGTACATAATGTATTTCATATTTGTATATCGATTGAGCATAAAAACATGCCTAGGATTCCTGAAACAAATAAAGAATGAATGCACAGAGAAATTCTGGGTTGATTCGTGTAACAGTGTTCGGACCGCTATTACATTGCTCGAGCCTTGGGGGAAAAGCTCGAGCCTGGTAAGGAAAAACTCAAGCAATTGGTTGTGAAGCTCGATCAATTGGATGTAAAGCTCGAGCCTGAGAAGGAAAGCTCGAGCAACTGGGATAAAAAGCACGAGCCTGAAGTAGGGTGCTCGAGCATTTAGGATAAAAGCTCAAGCATTACCTGGAGAAGTTTCGTAAACAGCATAGTGTGACTTTTTTTTGGAATTGAAGATACTTAAACATCAAATAGGGACTTAGGTTTGGGTTTAAATAAATTTAAATAGACTCGATCATAATAATGTTTGCTATTTGAATGTTTTAAACAAACGAATGGATTTAATCTTTTAATTTGTTCTAACAATTAAGATTAAATGTATAGCATGAATGGTATATGGAGAATACTTAAGTGATTGTATAGTAAAGTATTAATCTGTTTAAGAGATTCAATATGTGTAGGATATGTGATGTAGGAAGCTTAAATAAATTATAACCTATTCCTATTTTGTAATAGCATGATATAATATTATTATGTTTAACTCTGGAATATTTAATGTACTTTTGAAATTGTTACATCAACTGTTGGATTCTGTGGATTTAGTGCACCAGTATGGGATGGTGGCACTCTAGGGATGGATTAACTTATCAGTTAAGTCCTACCTATTTTATAAAGGAACGGGTTAACTAAAATATTAAGTCCTACTTATATTTGTGTCAAGTCAACTGAACCAGTTGGATAATACATAGTGGATTAATTTAGATTGGATATATATATATATATATAGACATATGCCATTATATGAGCTTGAGTCTCAAGATCATAGTTAGGGTGCATATTATAATGACCCGGTCATTTTCCTTCCTTTCCTTTTTTCTCAGATTTTCACGGATATTTTTTTTTCCGTTGTTCTTTTCCTTTCTAAGCTCAATTTCTCGTCAAATAGTATCATCTTGAGTGCTCAAAAATAGTTTCTGAGACTCTTTTATTGGGATTGACATCTTCCTTAGAGGATCGAGTCATTTCCATATTTTCACTTTTCGGACACTATTCATTTTTTGTCATTTTCCCTATTTCGTCCTTTTCTCTATTTCATCTTTTCCCCGTTTGTCACTTTGTTCGTGTAACCACACTTCTTGTGTTCGGAGTTGGTTTTTGACTTCACGTGTCTTCATTCTAAGTGATTTCCACGAAATACGTATCTTTACTTTTGCAACAAAGTACTCTGGTTGCTCTCGGTGTCTATAGGGGCATGGATGCATAATTCTTCATAATCTTTTTCTTTTCTTGGAGTGTTTTTCATAAATATCTTTTGAAGATATTTTATTTCAAGGGTATCTAAGAAAATATCTTTTGGAAGATATTTTCATTCTGGGGCAGTTTTGTAGTTTTCACTTTTTGTAGGAGCCATTGTGCAATTAATGAAAGTTATTGCAAAATGCCTCGTTTTGAGCCTGAATCCTCGTACGGGATTCATTTTCACTTTTCGTTGAGTCGTGTACTTATAGAATTTCCTTCTCATCTTTTTTCTCCAGTTTCAGGGTTTCTGGCCCCGGTTGCCGCCAAACTTGTTCAGGGCATATCTCTCTGCTCGGGACTTGGTTTTTGACGCCATTTCTTCTGTTGTTCATATTTTCTCATTTCAGTTCTTTTTCATTCATGGAGTTTTGCCGTTTGTGCGCGTCTGCTCAAATTCCACTTTTCCGGACTCGGTAGGGCCCGTTCTGGACACTTTTAGGGTTTTTCTATAAATAGGGGACTTAAAGAAGAAAAGTCAGATTTTCCCTTCTTCCTCCCCTCTTGGCCGGCAGACATGGAAGACCATGGGGCTGCCACCTTCTCTCTCCTCCTTTGAACCACTTTTCCTTGGTGAAAAGTCTTCGGCCTTAACGTTTATTGTTCGCCTTGTCATGCTCTACCTTTCCCCCTTATTAGAAACCATTTTTGTCCATTTCTTGAGTTCAGGTTTGAAGTCAACTTGTCATTTTGATGGGGCTTCCTTAGGATTCTTGTTCACCATGTTGTCCCTAACAAAACCCTGAAGTTTCGTCGGATTCAGAGCACTTTCATTACAGTGGGGATTTGAGATTTCATCTCAAATGGAGGTACGGGATGTTTTAGGATTTTGTATATGTTGTATTGAGTGTTTCCCATGAGTATACAACTTGTATGCATGCTTTTGTTCATAATCTATAATTTAATTTAAATAAATTTCTATATTTAAGATTTAATTCACATGATGATAATCAACAACTTAGAATTAAATTGTGGCATGCTAGTAAATTAGGCTTTGGTTTGTTAATATAGATTAAAATTGGAGTATTTAATAAAATATTACAACTTTTATTTAATAATTTTTCTTGGTGAAAGTTTAATTCTCATGCCCGTACCTTACATGGAAATAACTTGTGATATGCTTTTAAATTAAGTTTTGGCATGTTCTTTAACATACTTTAATTTGAGAGCATTTGGATAAGTATGAAAATCTAGAGATTTTAATTAAATTGATTAATTAAAATCTATTTAATGGTTCCATTGGCTTTGTTAAGTTTTTAACTTGATATTTGTGATGAGTATGACTTGTACACTAGCATATATTAATTTGGGACCATTTGGTGTTGTTTTAGAAATTAGAGATTTAGTTATCATGATTTAATTAAATTCTACCTTATTGTTACATGGCCTAATTAAGTTTTCGTTCTGATATATGTAATGTGCTTGCTATGTTGTTTAACATATATTAATTAAAGGTTATTTGAATTTGATTTGAAATTTAGAGAATTTAATTATTTTGTTTAATTAAATTTTATCTAATGGCTCCATGGATCTATTTGTGTTTTAGAAGTTGTTTCTATATCCAAATCATAGACTTGGACTTATTGTGTATTCACTTGGTTGTGTTTTGAGCATTGGATAACATTGTTGTTATATTTATATTCATGAGAACATGTTTTCTTTATGGAATATATTGTCGCCTTGTGTAATGAATTGCACACTTTGTAATTGACATTATATATGCCATTTTAGAATTTAAACTCTAAGGCATGGATTGTGTGGTTTCAACCTACTTGTGCATGGAAGGTGATTTCGTACATTATATAAATTATATATATAAGTTGTGAACTTATTTGATTTATTTTAGAGTCTTGGAACATTGTTGTTACAAGTGATATGGCTAGAGTTTGGCTCTAGTGCGGGAGGTATGAGTTCTCCCCATTTATTATGCACACTTAGGGTGGTATTCCCAGCGGGTTAATGCCCGGAATAACCATAGGTCTTGGCTTTATCCAAGATTTGATGTCCCAGTCTTCCATTATTTGATTTCGCATTCAATTCCAAGTTGACAATCATGTTTAATTGTGACTTGTGATTTTGGTTATTAGCGATTTTGATGTTGTTAAGTACATCTATGCTTTATGATTTTAATGAATCATTGTAAATTTTGATGTTGTGAAGTACATCTATGCTTTATGATTTTAATCAATCACTGTAAATTTTGATGTTGTGAAGTACATCTATGCTATATGATTTTAATAAATCATTGTAAATTTGATGTTGTTAAGTAAATTATGCTTAAAATATTCAAATATAACTTAGGAATGATCCTATAGATTCATTTGGAACATAGACGCTAGGTGGCATGACCCACTTTTGTCATTTTTGTATCTTAGATTTCAAGTTGAAAACTTTGAGAATCTATATCTTGTTGCTTTGTATAGTATGTTTCTATGCGGTTTGAAATGCATGAATGATGTGATTTATGCTAAAAATGATCTAGGATAGCTTAGGATACTCCCTGAGTCTTACCCTTGATATAGACGTTAGGTGGCATGAACCTTTTAACATGTTTCACCTTAAG